ATCGGAAAGCTGTTGATCGACCTACTAGGTAACATTCGTCTTTTCTGTTGAGAAAATTTTGACAGCGGCCTGTTAGCGTATCCCATAAGTTTTTTTCTTCTTCTCGTTTCCCTATAGAATTTCTATTCCTCCTTCCGGTGACGAGAATGAGTCCAGGTGAGAACAGCTCAACCGCCACTGCTGAAACGCACGTTGCTGCGTCATTTCCGACGCCGCAATTGCTGCCTCATTGAGCCTACGGTAGAGGGCTAGCTGACCTTCGTCTTCCGGTCAACCCCCCTCCTCCGTTTGCTTCCTCATAACCGTTGTACAGATTGACTTTGTATCCCCTCCCCTCGTCCGGGCGCCCTCTGCTTGCACTGGATAACCAAAAATTTGAAATCCCTTCTCTGCCGCCCCCCCTCTCCGACGCAGATGATCCTTGTGCCAGCATCAGATACTCTTCCTTTCTACACCCATTGTTGTACGAGGTACTGTTTGCGCATATAATACACCCATGAATTTTCCCGAGAATTTCTCATTTTAAGAGTCGCCTTCTTTATAGGTTGCGCAGGTTGCGAATTGTTGTCTAAAATTGAAGAATCAATTTCAAAAGTTAAATTGGCGAGCATACTTTTGCTTTCGATAAATTCTCTTCAGGCCTGTACATTTATATGGTAATTAAATAAATGAATCAGGCGCACTCGTCCATAAAATTTGCACTTAAAAAGAATCGCCCGGGTCGTCACCACTTCTTTATGTACTTTTGAGCGATAGGTTTGAAGGAAGTATTCATCGTAGGGTCTTACTGTAAGAAGACATGGTCCGGCAATATACCCCTTTTGTTGGTTTCGTACCGTTAAACTTCAAACGTAATTTAGTATGATGTTTGACACAAAGTGTGAGAAGGATTTGCTCGATCGATAGCTTCGAAGAAGAGCCTAAGATGGTAGAAGGCATTTTTCGACAGAATGGGTCACCTAGTCGATTTAGTGCTAAAATCATGGCTGGAAAACCGCCAAAGCCATCGGTGCAGAGAAGAAGAGAATTTTCATTAGGGTCCTATTTCAAGGGGACACACCAAGCGAACTCCTGAGAAGGCGCCCGAGCAAGCTGTATCGAAAACCTCTCCAGAAGCCAACGCCTATATACTGTTCTCGACTACGCCCATCCCATACGGGGAGGTAAAGGACAAGCTGCCGATCCAGGCCACTTTTATGTGCATCTATTCATTCACGTGCTCCTTTGGGGCAAAATGTATTTGGTCGCAGGAACCGGTGTCTGTTCAAAAGAGTACGAGAACACCTCCCGGCATGGGAAGGGTCTATTAAAGGGCATTAATAGCTCCATTCTACCTCACATGGCAGACTCAAACCATCATGTGGATGCCGGAGAGGCTCTCTGAGTGATCTACAAGGTACCCCTGAGCTATTCAAAACTACTTGGACGGCGTCTGTTGACTACAGCAGAAGCGGCTGCCATCAGGCTACGCAAAGCGAGACTATGCGCTCAAAATAACGCCGCAGTCACCATGGGCCAAAGTGGCCAATCCAACCGCATACGGTTTATCACCTACCTCGAAACCGAGTCCCCCCAGAGACGGACAAGTCGCTAATTCAACCGTGCGCACTTCATCACCTGTCTTGGCCGCCGTTCCGCCTATACCCGGACATTTTGACCTCAATCCCTCCAACCCCAACCGGCCCTAACAACAACACTATTTTCCACGAAACAGCATATTTTATTTAATTACCATATAGGTATTAATCGAAAGCACCCTTATGCTCGCCAATTTAGCTTTTGATACCTACAATGGAACTATGTTGTAACCTAGTGTGTTCCTGTGTCAACACTGGTTATATCCTTGATTGATCTCACCTGCGTCGCCACTGTTGTAACTTAGTGTGTTCCCGTGTCAGAATTGGTTATGCCCCCCAGTTACGTGTTAGGAAGAGAAGTCAGGCAGGGATAGCTGATAGTACTTTACTGTCCGTTATACTAGTACATCAGCTATGTTCCTGTGTGTCCAGCAGCTCGTGTTCTGTGCTCGGTCTCGTCTCGGCAGCAGTCTCTCGTCTAGGGCAACAGAGTTTCGGGTCGCGGACAGCGTCTCCATCA